CCTCCCCCGCAATGCGTACCAAGAAAGAAGCACACAGGCTCAAGTCTCGATGGATATAAATAAAGATTAAGAAAGAGAAGATGAACCCAAAGAAACGATACCTATCGATACCTATGAAAAAAATGAAAGAGAGTAGGTAGCAAGGGAAGTCAATTAAGAAATAAAAGCGGGTGGGGGGGTGCAGGGGGGAGGGCGCAGCGCCTCCCCCCGCAATGCGTACCAAGAAAGAAGTACATAGGCACAAATCTCGATGGATATCAATAAAGATAAAATGAACCCAAATAACCGATGCTTATGAAAAACAAAAAGAATAGTAGGTAGCAAGGGGAACCGATTAAAATAAAAGCGGGTGGGGGGGTGCAGGGGGGAGGGCGCAGCGCCTCCCCCCGCAATGCGTACCAAGAAAGAAGTACATAGGCGCAAGTCGTGATGGATATCAATCAAGATTAAATGAATCCAAATAAACAACGATGATGCTTGTGAAAAAAAGAATAGTAGGTAGCAAGGGGAGCCGGCTAAATAATAAAAGCGGGTGGGGGGGTCAAGAGAAGGAAACTTTCCTTTCATTTTTCAAGAGAAGGTTACTTCTTTCTTTCTTTCTTTCTTTCTTTCTTTCCTTTCCTGATTTTGTTTTTTTTGATCCATGGGTTTCGCCTTTATTTCGTGATAGTTTCCTTGTGTTTTCTCATGTTTTCTGGATTTTGTTTTTTTTGATCCCTATTTGTTTTTTTTTTGATCCTTATTTGTTTTTTTTTGATCCTTATTTGTTTTTTTTTTGATCCCTCTCCCGGCTTTGGTTCCCTTTACCCCCCCAGAAAAAAAATATCTATGGAAATTCCGGGGTTGTTCCTAGGCCCTAGGAAATGATGATAATGATCTGCAAATGGTTGAATTTATGTTCATATCTATCCATGTCTGAGTCCATGTTTGTTGACTGGAGGATGGATGAGAGTCGCAGTCGCGTTATATAGTTATAATTATAATAATTATATGATATTATATGTGTAAGGCGTCTGTTCTTGGCAAGTTTGTCTCCAAAACATACTCACAAGTTGCAACTCTGCTACAGGTAGCTTCAACCAGCTGGGAAACTTGCCGACCAGACTTATCAAACACATACCCAAAATGGTGGATGTTGATGCTAAAGCAAATGAGCAGTCAGGTCGAACAAATCTTGACTGGGGCTGGTGCGGCCTGGCCAAATTAAGTTAGGCTTCAGCTAGTCCTGTCCTGTTTTTGCATCATGATGCCGGAAGGATACTTCGATCCGGAATGTTCCGGCACTGAGAAATCTGCCACCTTCTGAGGTCGCAACTTGAGCCAGCTGCGCGATGGCTACTCACCGTGGAGCCAGTTTGCCAGGGGCACGATAACCGGAAGTGCACAGTACCACCATGTACCACCATTCAAGGGATTCCAAAGGGCGGAAAGAATTGAGTTTTAACTTGGGCGAAGCTGGACTACCCCAAATGTGCAAATGATGTAAACATTGACGGCTATCGACTTCAGCGACTTCAGGACTCAGGATGCAGATGCTCATGAAGCGGTGGGTGAAGCAAGGCCCCCAAGGTCTTGGGGGATACTGTGGTCATCCTCCAGCAAAAGATTCAACATGACTAGCGCGTGGCATTAATCTGCTTACCAACATGTTTGCCAAAAGATCTGGCGCAAGAAGCAGCAGAGTTTACGCTTTCCAGGTAATCACCAATCTTAACAATACCAATACCAATATTTCCAGTCCATGCTGGTGAACCGTTCGCAACTGGGACACCGCACTGTGGTTCGCAGCAGAGTGGCGACAGCGGGGAAGATCCGATTTGCCCCATGGCTGCGTCGCTGCGTCTGCGTCGTGCAAATGGGTCAGGGTAAGGCGTCTTGAGGCTGCTGCAGTGCTGCAGGAGGGAGTACCTCATGAGATCTCATCAGTGCCCCTACTAGGGTGGGTCCTGTTGGGTAAGCTGTGACTCCTCGGAGCCTTACAACCTGAAAATGCCAATGTCGGTTGAACTGCATCCCGCATTATGTGTATCGGCAGCAAAACGATCAGCCTGATGGTGAGAAAAGCTTGAGGCTTCGGGCGTGGTGAAAAACAACCGTGCGTAAGGAATGCCACGAACAACAATTGACAAAGGGTTTCTCAATGGATTGGTTTCTGGGTCCATCTACATGAAACCATGGCTTGTATACACTCCAAGTATACAGATATAATAATATATGCTTTTATATATGGAGAGCGAGAGAGAGAGAGAGGAAGAGCGAAACTCCGAGAGAGAGAGAGAGAGAGATATATATATATACATACACATCACATCTATATATATATATTATATATATATACACATCTATAAATACAGTTAGTTATATACATATGGGTTTGGGTTTGTATAGTGCAGATGTTTCCTTAATCCAATTCTGGGAGCTTCACATCAAAGGGGACAAATCCACACCAAGTCTTCGACTGGGCCTCCGATGGCAACTCCTGCGCTCTCTGGGTGGTTCGAACTGAAAATTCTCCAAACCAAAACTGAACAAACCATGAAGGATTGATGACCAAAGTACAATTTCAACAATTTGATGTGTCTGAATTGTTCCAAGGGGTCTGGGAGACACTGAAGTTGCCTCAGTCCACTCCAGTTTTTTGGCTCCCCCACAGTCTGCAGGAACAAGTGCTTGATTTCACCAAAGATATTATATAACATATATACGTATATTAACACTTAAGTTAACGAATCTAGATAGGACTGTTTGAACACATGCGCACTCGCCCCACAGGTGGAAATAAAAGATATGTTGCTTCTTCAATATCCTTGGATAAAACTGCTACCTCTGGTTTGAAAAACCGGATGGTAGTCATATAAATATACATCAACGCAAACATGTTTCAAGCACCTGCCCTTTCCCAAACCCACATCTTTTTGCATGACTTTTTCTTCTGCATGTTCCGTTTGAATCACTGTAAGAATAAGTTAGGGACTACTTGCCTCAGTCTGCATGGTCCATCGTTGCACCGATGTTCTTGGCTTCGCCAAGTGGAGTAATTATGCTTGAAGCCTCCTCCATTTGTGAAGGTATTTTGACATCTTTCTGGACAGAGATTCAATGTTCCGAAATTCAATATTTCGCACACTTGTCAGCTTGTCCAAAACAAATACAACAAAATAGATGATAGTTTACTGCCAAGCCATTTCCATTGCCATTACCATTACCTACCCACTGTTTTCAGCATGGTCAACGGCAGCTGCTGCCATGGTATCAGTGCCTTACCTGCGCCACTTCTGGGAACATCAGCGCCCGGGCGGCTGATGAGTTGGCGATTGATGAAGGGGTTCCTTCAGACTCCTGACGGCGACCACATGGGATGCGACACAGCAAGGCAAATCAAATCACCCAATAGTTACCAATAGTTTAGATGTGTAGTTTGGAGCTGGCAAGTGGAAGCCAGAGAGAGAAACAACAGAGAGCTTTGATGGTCACAGAAATGTCCTCAGTAGGCTCTTGTGCCAGGTGCAACAGGGATACTGTAGTCGCATTGAAAAATCTGCTAATCTCTCAGTTTTTTCATGATGCGCTCGGTGCTCGGTTTTCTTGAACCCTTGCCAGCTTGACAGCATTTGACCAAAATATCAAAATACTTTTTGGCACCCAGCTCTTGAACATGCGGTCCTTGTCCGTGGTATCATAGGGTTGCCCCCGCTTAGGTGGAAGCCCCATGAAGCGGGAGAGGAACATCGACACTACCACAATGCTCAACATGCAAATGATCTCCACGTTGTCAGAGATCATGACCTGATCTGTGGGGCCACTGTGAGAAAACACCAGCAGTGATGCTTCGCATGCCCCTGGCCTGGTCGTCCCATTGGGAGAATGGGCCACAGTAGAACCGACTATCAAAATTGGAAAGGAAAGCTGATGGAAGTGGTCGGCCGGCCGCCGGCCAACGCACCTCGTTGCGAAGCAACAGCACGCCGCCGAAGAAGATCAGAAGGATGCTGATTCCGCTGCGAAGTAGGCTGAAATGCTTGAACATCTCACTGACCTGGGGCCGCTGCTTCTCTCTGGCTGACAGATCGCTGCACACCTCTCTTCAGCTCATCTCTCTCTCTATCTCTCTCTCTCTCTCTCTCTCTCTCTCTCTGTCCTTCTTTTTTGTGGCCTCCGGGCTCTCTTGAGAATGCACCCATTGCTCTCCCAAGTTACGAACGCCAAGCCCATGAATCTAGTAGTTTCTTCTACATAACCCAGGTGGGTTGCAAAGTTGCAAAGCCTTGCAGCCCAACTCTGATCTTACCCTTCTTGTCAATAGGTTCAGTCGCCTCTAGTTAAATTGCATATCTTGAAGAGCACCAAAGTTGTTTGACACTGCAAGTGGCAAAATGATGCAAAATGATTGGGATTGAATCTCCTTGCCACTGGAAAAGGGACGCGCTCCGTGTAGCTTATTCTTTTCATCCACTAGTGCTGCCGAAAGTGATTGCATATGATATAATATGATATGATATGATATGATGGTCTGGCTATACATGTCAACACAGCATTCTCCAGCTCTGTTTAATAAAGCACAGAAGAAATATGGACAGCCGCCTGCAGTTGTATATTCTGGGCATGGTTTGGAGTATCGAGAGGCATCCCTCCGGATAGGGAGCCAATGGCTACGTACAACGGTCCTACTAAATATCTTTGTAGTCCAAAATGTCCAAGATATGTAAAGTGCGCATCGCTTGGCGGCGTCTTTGTGAACCCCAAGACTGCTTTGGATACGTTGAATTCGTAATTAGGCGTGGCCACCTTCTTGGCATGATCGACACAAAAAGTTTCTGGGTTGTGCCCATATACTACCGTAGTAGCACTTATCAATGTAGGTTTTTTTTGAGTCAAACCCAGGTGGAGAAAAAAAACATGGTGTGTGCATATATAAATATATAATTATATAAATAATTATATATAATTATATATATATATAATTATATATAATTATATATGTATCTGTATAATTATATTATATATATATGTATACACGTGTGTGTGTGTGGGTGTGTAACACATCTAATTCCGGACAGTACAGGGTTGTTTGGATTCTTCAACTTCAGATTCCCTTCCTTCAGGTTCAATAAATCACACATAAAGCCAATCTGGGCGGATTAGTGATTAAACGACATCAAACAGACAAATAAACGATGTATAACGATGTTAAACGAACCTATTCTTGAGAAATCACCAGGTCATGCCAGGTCACTCTAAATTCCCAGCAATTCCCAGCATGTCTTCTTCAAAAAAACAGCCCACCGTTTCTACCTTTTCTTGGTGCATTGGTTCCCCTTTCAGATCTTTCAGTACTCACAGCGTCGTCGCGCCAGGCGGCAATGAAGTACAGGTCTGGCAACGCCAAGGCCACGAAGACCGAAGAGGTCCAGCCGATAAAGTGCGACTGCAGATCCTCGATCTTGGCCTCAACATGGCGGGGAAATCCCTGAACGACACAATTGATGTGCAACAAATTGTGCATTTATGATCATTGAATGATCATTGATGTGCAGGGAAAATCATCTGTGTTCATTGGGGACTTTCCATTGCCATGTCGAAACCACGGTACCTTCCCATTTTGGAACCAGTGTTGCGCCATCTTCCCAAACGTTTTTGAGGCACAGAATTTGCTCTCTTGCTATCAAAGTTTGCAACGGAAAATCTCACATGAAAGTAGGCCCGTTCTGGTTGGTGGTTCAACTTCAACCCAGCGGTACGGTTTTGAAAAGGGTCGCTCATGTGCAACCAAAAGTACTAATCTCACCTTTTGCAAAGGCTAACATTGGAATACTTGGATATACTTGGATATACTTGGAATAACATTGGATTTTTTGGGCAGTGGGCAGACATTGGATAGGTGTCCATGCCATTTCGATGTGCTTTAAGGGGGCGCCTAGCTTTTTGGCCAGGGAACTAGCGTCACATCCAGTTCCAGCCAGAACCTGGAACCAAGGTCCCAAGAAATGACTCGAAATCTACGGTTCTCCACTACCGTACCATGACCACAGCGCGGCCATCTCTCATGTGTGATAAAAACTCGTCAGCATCCCTGCAGGAGGCTTGGCTACATATGGAAAATCCCCATTTGCAGACCGTTTTCCTTGGAAACCCTCTGGGTTTTCCCTAACATTTCCCTAACTATGTCAACATTATATACTGCAGAGGAACTGATGCAAATTATGTGGCAAAAAAATGTGTGCAGTCCGTTGCCGGTTTCATCGCCCCCAGTCCCCCCCTAAGCAGAGGCACATCACCAGGATTAGGACGAAGGTCACAGGTGCCATCATGGTCAGTCGGATTTTGCCATCTTTTCGATCCGTGATGACCTCATTGTGCGCCCAAAGCGCCCAAGATGGGGATGAGAAACACATACCAAATGTGATGCCAGTGTGTCGTAAAGAATACAGGGCTGGGATGATTGACCAATCCTCAATTCCATAAAATGTGTGAAAAGATGGCAAGCTAACATGTGAACAAAGAGGAACACAATGGAACACATAGGTCAACCCCAGGCTGTTCCCAACCCGCTGGCCCTTAAACGACTTAAAAGTGTGGCCCAAGTCGCAAGCGACCCGTCAGCGTAGTGCGGTACCAAACGCTCCCCCAGCGCCGTGGTCATCAGGCGGTAGATGGAAGAGGTCTCTGGGTCGAAACTGGTCTCCTCATCGTGGGTTTCCCTCAGGGTGTCCTGAATGTGCAAAGTTCCAGCATGTTATTCCAGTCATATTCAGCAAATGTGACGTTTAGATTCTTCATGTTTTTTCCGATTGTCTTCGGTCACGTCCTGTCCACTGAAAGCTAAGTCAAAGCGAAATATGTGTGACGAGTCTCTATGCCCAAATACATCAGCCAAGCCCCCATGAGGTATGGCAAGCTCTGGATACCTCAGCTGAGAATTCAGCAAGCGCAGGGGAGCAAAAGTGCACTTGCGCTTCAAAGACTAGGGCCAAGACCGCATTCACAAAAACGAATCAAAGACATTAAGACATTGAAAAACATTAAAAACATATCATCAACAGTGACATCCACACCATCTGCATCCGTTCACCGGGAAGTCCTGTGAGCAAATCACCAAGCCACTCTGAAACGCTTTGGCCACAAACATGAACAGCCAGAGCTGGAAGAACATCTGGAAGAAACTGACCTTTTTTGGCGGTGCCAGGTGAAAAGCCACCAAAATTTTATCAAAATATCTCAAAATGTCGTGAAAAAATGAAAATGAATTGGGATCTCTCTCTCTCTCTCCCCTCTCTCCCCATCACCATCACATCATACAACGCCAAAACCCGTCTCAGCCAGGCTCAGCCGGGGTCATCCTCCCGCTTTGATGGAATTATCAGCAAAAAACTCGTGCTGAACCTCTCACTAGTCACGATGTATAACATGTCCTTGGCAATTCGGTGGGGCACCCTGAAGGACACCAAAATCATCTCATAGACGAAAACGTTTTCCATGGAGAGGATCAACTCGATGAAGTATCCTCGGCCATGGGCACCATACAAATACCATGTGATAAAATCATTGATTACCTATCAAAAATCATATCTTTGGCTGGGCAGTAAACTACACAACCAAGGATTGTTAACATGTTATGACACACACGCACAAAAAAAAAACGTAATCGAAAAACTATATAATTGTAGGCAGTAGAGCATCATCTAAGATCCATATCCATCTTAGTTTGCTCAGGGTATAGTCAACTTATTAAGCTGATCAAACTGCCCGACCAACCTGTCCCCAGTCCTCGTGCAAATTGCGTCATGGACTCAGAACCCTCCTCCGCTCCCATCACTCCAGTGTAGACCTGATTGCATCCGGGTTCCCAAAGTTTGTTTCCAAACAATTTCTTTGAAGAAATCATGGGGTGCTCATGAGAAAACACCTATATTCAGATTCATATGATTTTGGATGGTATAAAGCCCTGGATTTCTTGCAGGACATGACTCAAATCAATGCTGCAAATGGGCTGCTGACAAAGCTAACCAACCAAAACAAACAGCCAAAAGCTTTTACAAGATGCACGAACAATTGATGACAGCTTGACGGCTGATGTCAATAATCCCATCCGCCTAATATATATTTTATATGGCCCCAAAAATGAATAGATTTAATCAATACTGCATGGAGAATTTCACGAGCTGGCCTTTTGGCTATGATCATATGTAGTATCTGAACCAAATAGACCGAACTGCGGTGGGTAACAACTACTTCCTGCTGCAGGCTTCTTTTGCCCAAGAAAAGTCGCGGCTCACTGCTGCTCGGTTAGCAGGTTATGAGCTCAAATCGTGCCTCTCGTTGCTGAAACATGGCGCGTCGACGAGGAAGAAGCGTTCCAGGACACCAAGAAGGGCATCTTCACATGAATGAGGATGAGCAGGTGAACCCTTTTTGGTCCCAAGGAGTACAAGATGCAGCGAGGGTGGAGGGGCTGAGACCAGCCGCCTTGCCGCCAATCCTGGGAACTCCAGAAAGTCTACCTCCAGTTCCTGCTGATGAATGGGAACAAGGAGATGAAACACCAAGACCAGCGCAAGGACTTTGAAGGGCGGTGGGTAGCGGTGGGGGAATGGTTAGAAGTCAAGGCCGGATGCCTACTCAAGTGGCATTTGAAACACCAAGTAGCTGGAATCCCCAAACTCCAGGACCACAGGGCACCCAGGTGTTCAGGATGCACGAAGAAACTACGGACTTCAATCTCTTTGGCTTCGACCAGGACTTGGCGCATCAAACTTCGTGTGCAGGAATTCCTCAAGTAGATCTTCTTGGCCCTCTTGGTGGTGAAGGACATCGAGGGAAAGGTCAAGGGGGAACGACCAAGGAGAACGGCAAGGTGATGCACTTCGTTCTCAAGGACCTCTACGGCAAGATCAAGGTGGAAGAGAAGGGAATCCTGCTGGACAATGGCAACATTCTCTAGATCTTCTAGGTGATGTTCTTATGTTCTTCGAGGTTCACATGGGGATGTCTCAGCTCTGCAACGTGGGAGAGGTAAAAGCCCTGAAATGCTGCCACAGCGTGGAGGAAGTCGTCAAGGAAACGATCGAGGCTCTCGTGGACTTTCGGTACACAGATCGCCAACGAAAAGATCGGAGCCGACCAACGGGTGAAGATCGTCTTCAACATCAAGGTTTAGATCATCTGCAAGGAAAAGAAACCGATGCAGAACCCAAAAAGATCCAGCCAAATGATCAAAAAGGACCCAAGTTGGAGCAAGATTTGAGCTCGTTGTCTCGTTGTTGGTACAACCGTTGATGCAAGAAAACGAGGAACTTCGAAAAAGGTTGGATGCAATGAGCAAATCTCAGCCATCTCCTCGTCTACAACAAGTCGCACAAGTTCAACAACAAGATGAGTTGGACACCTCAAGTTGGGAGTCGGTGCCATCAAGAACGACTCCAACAACACCTACAAACCGCCAGACAAAAGATGTGAACAAAGTCACTCCTGGTGGAACTCGACTTCCGGATGGACCGCCGCCAGTCGACAAGGTGGAGAAGGATCCCATGCCGCCGCCAGTGCCTCCAGCGCTGCCTATGCCAATGGGAGACTACGAGGAGTACAATGAAGCGGGGGTCAACAAATGGCTGGGACCACAAACGTTTCGTGTTGGTGCTCAACAAGCTGATGGAGATCTACATGGCTTCTGGAACAGCAGGAGAGGTGGAGTTCAACATGTACCCGACCCAGAAGCGGATAGGGTTCAAAGACTGGAGCAAGAACTCAAGGACCTTCGTGAAGCTTTGACTATGCGGAGGTTGCCTGGTCAAGAGCCTTTGGGTGCGTATGGAGCTCAACTATTTCAACGAGTGGGACCTCCAAGTGCTGATCCGTCCGGAGCTCAGCAGACTCTGCGTCAGGCTTGCGATGACATTAACATGCGTGGGTGGGTTCATGTCAATGGTGGTAATCCTTATCTTCATCAACAGGGACAACCCATAGCTGGAAACCAACTTGGACAACAAGGAGGCCAATTTGGGAATCCTTATCAATGTTGGGGTCAACATCAAGGAGGTGGAAATTGTGACCAGAGATTTTTTTTGGGTGGTGGAGTTCAAGATGACCGGCCTCGCGAAGAAGAGCTCAAGCCGGTGACCACCACTCTACTGAAACTTCCTGAATTGGGAGGGAAGAATCAAGGACTTGAAGCTGGCGATTGGATGGTGCAAATTCGTCCTCAGATCGCTGATGTGAGTCATCGTGCCATGTGGTTGTGGGATACTTTGGTGACCATGACCACTCAACGTTATCAACCGTTATCAACAATGGTTGGGAAGTGATCCTATCACTCGCCTCAATGTGCAACCTCCAAGGGTGGAGGAATTGCCTCAAGGGTTTACGAGGTTGGAGCAGAGGGTTACATCGTTGCTCATGCAGGCGATCCCAAAAACCTTGGCTGCAGAGATGATTGCAAATCGTCAGCTTGGGGCTGCTCAGATCATCTTCAAAGTGATGAAGGTCTACCAACCAGGCGGCTTGGGGGAGCGTCAGAACACCCTGCAAGCCCTTACAACAAGCGTCACCATTCGCGAGCAGCGGTTCCAGACCCTACGTTGATGGTAGGTGCTCTTGACAAAATAATGTCAAAACTTCTTCAGGGGGATCCACAGGCAAACTTCCGCCTCAGTGCGTTTCGCATGGGGGCACAGGTCGACACCAAGCCACAACAGCGGCCACGGTCAAACAACTACATCAAATGCTACTTGCAGAAGTTGAACTCGCACTTGGCAGCACAGAGGTGTCTGGTAAAGCTGAAGGAGGGCCTGCGGTGAAAACCCTGAAAGATCAAAATCAAAAGGCTGGCAATCCAGCACAACCGGTTTGCCGATTCTGGAAGTCCGAGCATGGATGTCGACAAGGAGCACAATGCAAGTTCCAGCATCCAGCGCATGATGATGGCAACTACCACTGTTATACCTGCGGAGCAACATCTCACAAAAAGCCCCTACAACTCTCCGAACGAGGAGGACAAGACCCACACTACAACTGGAGCTTCAAAAGGTTCTCCAGCCGGGGGGAGTGGTGCCGGTGGTGGTGATGGAAAAAGTCCTGGCAAACAGGGTGGAAAAGGTAGCTCCAAAGGAAAGGGTGGAAAAGCTAGCAAAGAAGACCAGAAAGGCAATTCAACAGGGTCAAAAGATGATCAGAAAAGTTTGAAGAAAGTTGAAACAGAAGGAGGAAAAGAAACACCAACTGATTCTAAAGGGACGTCAGGTGCTGGGACGGGAGAGACCTCAACGTTGGTGACTGAAGTGTCGTCGCTGATAAAGACTCTGAAAACCCCGGAATCCTCCTCAACGGCATATCGCCATGTCAAGACGGTGAACCTCCGGAAGATTGACATGGGTAAGAATCAAAGAGTTCTGATCAATGGTGGGGCTACTCATGTATTGAGGAAAGCCAACTCTCAAGATGAATGGGATCAAGGAGAACCAGTTCAAGTCGCTTTGGCATCGGGAACAGCGGAGCTGAAACAAGATGTGGTGACAGGATCGCTGTTGACGCTTCACGACGTTCAGATGATCATTCCCATGGCAGCGTTGACAAGGCTGGGTTATGAGGTGAAGTGGACGGGATCAGGCTGCAAGATCAACTCACCAGATGGTGCTCAACTACCTGCAGTACAGCTTGACCAAGGATGCCCAACACTTCCTCGGCGTGAAGGCGCTTGCATTCTTCAACAAGTGGAAGATCATCAACGGCGTGAGACACAAATGAAGCTGGCGGCCATCAGACCGAATGTGGAACTGCCCAAGGCCTGTCCAGAAGTGGAAGTGGTGAAGAGACTCAAAGCAATCTTCCCAGAAGTACCTGCGGATTTGGCAAAAGAAATCCCGGGTTATGCCGAGGTCGACATGAACCAGGTGATCTTCAATCGCCATCATCGACGGAAGGTCTAACGTGCAAAGACTTTGGTGGTACACCTCTTCTCAGGAGATGATCCGAAGTTTTGGATGGCACAGGAGAAAAACGGTGTTGTCATCATCTGCATTGAGCTTACGAAGGGGGAGATCTTCGAAACGGCCATTTGTATGGGTGGTTGGAACAACTGGCAAGGAGTGGAAAGATCGATGTTCTTCTTGCTGGACCGCCCTGCAGGTCTGTGAGTGTCTGCCGACTTCGATCTCTTGAAGGTGATGATGGGCCACGAGTAGTCCGCATGGGTATGAACGATTTGGCCGAAGTGACCTTTCTGAGGAAGAGCTCAAATTGGTTTGTAATGGCAACTTGCTTTGGATGCGGACAATGTGGTTAGCCGTCCAAGCCTATGAGGCAAACCAGAACCTGGAGATCACCCTGGAACAACCACAGGACCCAGAACAATGGAAACAGCCACCTCCATGGCAACGACGTGGAGCCAATCCTCAAAGGGGAAGGGGTTTTCTTCGTTGACGACTGGGGCTAAAGAGGCTTCGGCATCTTCGTCGACTGGGACAACAAGCTTCAAACCGGAGGACAACGTCTTCGGAGGAAAAGGTTCCGGTGTGTCAACCCCAAAACAACCCCAAAATGAAAAGGAATCAAATCAAAAGGGAACTACGTCATCCAAGACCAACAAAAAGGGTTCTACGGAGGGAACTTGGTTGGGGGTTGGTGAATGTTGGTGATGGTAGTGAGGAAAATGTAGTTGATGATGAGTGTGATGAAGTTGAAGATGATGAGAATGATGGAAGTTTTGAACTGGTTGGTGATCCGCTTGTTCCACGGCATGACACATCTCATCCTTCAGCGAGCACTCCGCTGCGTGGTTCAAAAAAGCACCCTGGGCCAGCCCTGCGAAAAGTGATCGTCATGCAGGAAGATCCTAAAAAGGATGATCTATGTCCAGGGAGACCGCGAGCAAAGCGAATGCCGAGGGTGACTTTAAGGCCGGCAAGTCGAAAAGATCCGGTTGAAGGAGTACCTGACGGGCCGGCACCAGTGATTTTGAAGCCAGCAGTCCAAAAGGGACAGGCTGAAAGGGCGCCTGAAGCACCGCAGCTGATTGAGGACTCACCTCCTGAAGTACCACATTCGGTTGAAGGAGAACAAGAGGTACCTGGTCCAGTTGAACGTGAAGGAGATGGCCCAGGACAAGTTCAACATGCCCTTGAAGTACCTGGTCTGGGGGAACAAGAACCTGACGCACTACCTGTCAAGCCGAAGAGGTATAGAAGGGTGCGGGTGCGAAAGGTGATGAAAAAAGACCCCAACCTGGCCGAGGACAGGGAGATCCAGCAGCTTCACGCTCGACAGGCAAGCACAGGGCTGAGCGGCTGGCTAACCTTCGCAAGATGCAGAAGGAACGACAAGAGAAGATGCAGCCGCGCCCACCATCGCCTTCAACGTTGGACACAGAAGCAGTTCAACGTGAAATCGAGCGGCAAAGGGAGGAAGCGGTGGCATGCGGCAGGCGGGTTCTCACCTATGAGGAGTGGGAAACAGAAGAGAGAGAGAGAGAGAGAGAAAAAAAAAAGGAGAAAGAGGACCAGGCGAACAAAAGAAAGCCTGGATCGAAAAAGCAATAGCACGTCGGCGGCGTCAAGAACAGCGGGGTGAGGAAAGGGAAGCCATCTTGAGAAGTGAAGGCGCAAGGTCATCACGGGCACTGACAGAAGAAGAGTGGCTCAAGATGCAACCAATGGCACAACCTGTCAAGCCGAAGAGGTATAGAAGGGTGCGGGTGCGAAAGGTGATGAAAAAAGACCCCAACCTGGCCGAGGACAGGGAGATCCAGCAGCTTCACGCTCGACAGGCAAGCACAGGGCTGAGCGGCTGGCTAACCTTCGCAAGATGCAGAAGGAACGACAAGAGAAGATGCAGCCGCGCACGCCATCGCCTTCAACGTTGGACACAGAAGCAGTTCAACGTGAAATCGAGCGGCAAAGGGAGGAAGCGGTGGCATGCGGCAGGCGGGTTCTCACCTATGAGGAGTGAGTGGGAAACAGAAGAGCGAGAGAGAGAGAGAGAGAAAAAAAAAAGGAGAAAGAGGACCAGGCGAACAAAAGAAAGCCTGGATCGAAAAAGCAATAGCACGTCGGCGGCGTCAAGAACAGCGGGGTGAGGAAAGGGAAGCCATCTTGAGAAGTGAAGGCGCAAGGTCATCACACGCACTGAGAGAAGAAGAGTGGCTCAAGATGCAACCAATGGCACAACATCTTCCCAGTCCTCCTCCCCGTCCTCAACGAGATGAAGAAGCCAAGCGGACGGTGCGAAGAGTAATAGTGGTGGAGGAGGAACATGGCATGGCCCCACATCAAGCTCATCAAGGAAGAGCTCAACCACAAGGTCCTTTGCCGGGACCTCCACCACCCGGGTTCTCTGGTGTATGGAGAGGCTGCTGTCCAGGCGGTTTCCGGATGCGTCCACAAGGGGGTTATCCACAAGAGGGGCAACAACCAGGACTACATGGCCATCTTCCAGGACAACAATGGCAGCAACGAGCCCCACCTGGACCAAATTGGAGACCAGGTGCACCAGAACAACAACATATGTCGTTGGATCTTGGACCGGTGAGATAAAGGTCTCCGCAGGAAATTGCAGAGGCATGGTTGGAGCGGTATGGTGGTGGACCAGGTCTTGATCTACGTCCAGCGGCAGCCATCGCAGAGCACGAGGCTGCTGTGGCGAAAGCTGGAGGACACCGAATACCACCAGTACCTCAAGGAGCAAGAGAGGGGACGCCTCAGCAACCTCCAGAAGCTCAAGCACCTCCAGAACAACTTCAAAGGGGTGAAACTTTGCTTCAACGCATACTCCGGCTAGCACGAGAAGGACCCGTGTGTGGCACATCAACTCCGGCTACAACACCAGATCCAACGCCAGATCCAACACCAAGGGCTCCATCCCCGCAACCTTCATCAAGGACTTTGTCAAGTACATCTGAACCGGAGGTCATTGATGTGCAGCTGCAATATGATGAAAGTTCCAGGCTGCAGAATGAACATTTGGCCTTGCGCCCCCAAGGCGAAGCCAAGACCAAAGGTCAGACATGATCCGCGGCATGGAGCTATGGCGGCTGATGCAGGTGGCAATGATGGAGATGGAGACCGCCGTGGTGATGAAGATCCTATGCGTCGCCGCGTGCACTAGCGAACCAACGCCGGAGTCTGAAGACGAAGACGAAAACGAGGAGGACGTCGAAGAGACTGAAACTCCAGAATACATGGTCAGGATGAAGCGGCGATCTGACTGTTGACCCAAAGCGGAAAAAGAAATTGGGCCCAGGCGGGGAAGTCGTCAGCCTGGCAACCTCAAAAACTGAGGAGGTCAAAGGGGCACACGGTTCTCTGGTGGCCGCAAAGAAGAGGGAAGGGCACCAGGGAGGAGGGCGCTGGCAGCACAGTGCAGCACAGCGTGAAGTGCCCAGACCTGGGGTGGCAGCGCATCTATGGAAAGGGGAAGCAACCCCGGGTGCTCCGCATCACGAACCAGGGGAGCAAAAGCTCTGGTGGAAAGGCCGTACTTTTAGGCCGTGGCGGTGGTCAACATCAAGCTGCAGAAATACAACTCGCTCAGGCAGTGACAAGGGCGGCGAGTGCCATTCGCACGGCGGAGCAGGCTGTCCATGAACGCCTACGATGAGGCGGAAGCAGCGCTGAAGTCCTTGATGACGGCTGATGCGGCACTGCACTCAGGGGCAGGCAGTTCAACGGATGGAGCCGGTGGCAAACGAGGAAAGGGGCATCGAGCTTGGGCCTGGCTGGACGTCTACCGGGACTTCATGAAGGGCAAGAAGGGCGGCAAAGGGCCACCAAGCATCGACGAGGCCCAAGACGGCGAAGGAGCCCCAAACCTTGACGATGCCGAGTACGAAGAAGAAGTTGAAGAAGAAGAAGAAGAAGAAGTCGTAGAAGATAACGAAACCTCCGTTGAAGTGGAGTTGGAGGTCATTCAAGAAGAAGAAGAACCGGCTCAAGAAGAAGAAGAAGAAGAAGGCCATCAAGAAGATTGGCATGATGATCCCCTTAGTGGCTGAGAATGTGGAAGTTCCTGAGACCGAGGAAGCCATCTCGTTGGAGACCGAAAACGCGGAGGTCTTCGATGATGGACAGGGGCCCATTTCAGAGCCGGAAGCTGAGGAAGGAGATCATCACGGAGAAGTGGCGTCTTCGAGGGCCATAGACCATCAACCTCCATCACCGAGGAGGAGTTCGTCTCTGAAGAGCACGACTGAGGGTAGAAGCCTTGGGCCTACGAAAAATGGCTTGTAAAATTTTTCCAAGGCCTCGTTTTTACGGCCATTAAGATGTTTCAAGGTCTAGCTTTTATGACCTGGAATGGTGGCAGCCTGGGGGTCTATCAAAGATATGACTCATGGCATTTTGGCCACCTTAGCAGCCTCGACGGCACCATGCACCCTCAAATTTGGCATGCTGCCAAAGGGGGAGTGCATGGAGAATTTCATGAGCTGGCCTTTTGGTATGTAGTATCTGAACCAAACAGACCGAACTGCAGTGGGTAGCAACTAAATAATTCATGAGCAAAGACCCGATGTTCAAAGCCTCTTTTTTGCAGCACTGCCTGAAGTGGCACGGCTCAAAACTTCACTAAGTCAGCCAGAGCACCAGGGTCATCAGGATCCAAAAGCACAGAGAGAAAATGTGTTGCCACCAATATCTGGACTCGCGGTAGTGGAGCAGAATGCTTGCAGCCATCAGGAAAGTAAAGAACATCAGGAAGGAAACGAAAGAAGCAACTTTTGCCGATCGAAAAAATCCGTGCATTTCATCCTGCGCAGCTGCGGCCACAACCGTCAAACACCAGCAAATGAGAGCCGCATGCTCAGGAGACACCCCGAAAATCAACTGCAAAACACTACGCTTAAAGCACAGGACCTTTCCAGCATAACCTGGGAAGGCAGGAACAAAAGTCAGCTAAATTTTGTCTCTCTCAGTTTGTACCTCTTTCGTTTTTCTACGGAGCAGCTCTGACAAAGAACTAATGTGCAACAACCCTTTTCAATGCTGCCTTTCCACCAGCTCCGTTTTGAGACCTGTACGTTTTATACCGTTCAAATCTTACCCTTCCACAATCCATGGATTGCCGCCGTCCTTAGCGGCTCCGTTTTGTGACCCTTGCGACTACCCCGGTCTTTCCTGCTTTAGTCTTACCTTAGTCTTAGTCTTACCTCTTCCACATCACCAAACACATCCATGAACCCTCGTAGCTCTTTAGGCTATGTCGAAAGCTCCAACAAAGACCTGATCGACAACCACCCGTTTCAATCTATATAATCCTGCCTTTGCACAATTCATGTCAGCCAGTATGCTCTCGCCAGTCCCTTTGGTTTTCACCAGTCCCTCCCATTTTCTTATATGGTCTCCCTACCCAATCCGGCGACCAGGAAGGAATCGATACCCCACCGTCAGTCAATTGCCACCTGCTACTGTACACGACCCAACAAAAAAAAAAAAAACTCAAAAACCCGCCTCTACGACACCTAATCTCGAGATTCGCTACCGATGGAGTCAAAACATGTCAAAACCTGAGATTTGCCACAGAACCCCTGAGGTATCTCGGTGTTTTTCAGGAGGAACCTGAGGCTTGGCTGAAGTTATTTGGCAAACCCAAGGTTTGCCCGCAAAAAATTGATTATTCCAATCAATATCATGACTTTAAAGACATTTAAAGGGTCTTGCCGGTAAGGGTGCATATACACACCATGGAAAATACATCCTGCCATACAGAATTCATCATATTCCATCCCTAGAATCGCAGATTCATTCATGCGCATCGACGCCCGTGAAACCAATTGGAAAGGCCCACCTTCACATTCTTCATGCGGCCCACCTGACCAAGCAAAGCAAGTCGAGGCACTGAGATGATTCGGATGGCAATTCAAGCGTTGGGGATGGTCATCCAACCTTAAATGGGGTTCCGGCATTCCTTCCAACTGGCAATCATCTGGGGCATGAAAACATATGAAAACAAAGGTCACAAAAAAAAAGGTCTTGGCCGTGGAACACCCTTCGTAAATTCATGTCATATCTAAATACAAATGGCGCATTTCATTGGGAGTAGCTGGCGACTTGCTGCTTTGGGTGAGACTCATCCTCCTTTTCCTTGGGCCCATGGCTACAAAATCTACAGTATATAACGGAAATGTTGCAGCAACAAACACAGGGCCTCAGGGCCAAACAATCATGGTGGTTCCTGCAGTTGTTCCATTCAAGTCTGGGTCTGGGAGGACAACCCCCAAACCCGAAAAATTGCACCACTTGGTGGAAAACCAATACATATGCAGATACACGTATGTGCATTGATACATGCGTAATCATGCATATGTCTTGTGCATAGGTCCATGCATGCAATTCTTTGTTTACGTTTCAAGCCTCACATTCACTGAGATCATCTTAGGTTTTTAGATTCATTATGAAAAAATATCAAGATATATCAGGCGTCCAATACTCATGGATATGTATATATATATATATACATATATATAATTTATAATTTAATATATATCTATCTATCTATCTGTCTGTCTGTCTATCTATCTATCTATCTGTCTGTCTGTCTATCTATCTATCTATCTGTCTGTCTATCTATCTATCTATCTGTCTGTCTGTCTGTCTGTCTATCTATCTATCTATCTATCTATCTATCTATCTATCTATCTATCTATATGTGTATATGTATACGCACCATCATACACCTGACCACAACGAACTGGGCCTCATGCGGTGACATATGCGTGAAGTGTCTGGGCACTAGCAACTTCATGGCCGTCTGCGGCGCCAGATCCAGCGGCTCCGGCTGCGTGACCTGCGCCTGCGGCTGGGTGACGTTGCTGCGCAGCTCCAGAGCACAGCTCCATGGCATCCATGGCACCAGTAGGCACCACTGGATCCACGTCATGGCGTCAGGTCATGACATGAGTAATTGGTTCGGTATCAAGTGGTTCGCTTGAGCCTAAAACAAAGGGGAGAGACAGTGACAATGACCAGTACTGGACCAGTGAGGTCCTTGAGTTGGGCCCATCTGCCATTAGCTGCTGATATCTGCTGGACAGTTGCATGACGAATGCAACCCACGGGTGGCATCACCAAAGAAGCGCACCTCGCACATCGACGCATCTGCCGCCTCCTCAGGCAAATGCCAATGGTACCACCATGATACTGACATAAACACCAAACCCAAGGATATCAAACCAAAGGAAGAATTGGGAGGATATGTGAGTCACATTGTCACCACAATGTCGCCAATCAACTGCAATGAAGCTAGGGAGGTCCATATCAATCACTTCTCAACTGCCCCAAGAAGAATGGGGATTGGTCAAGTCATTGGGGTAGTGCGGGCCCACTCAATTTGCCGTTTTTAGAACTGAACCATCCATTTTGGGATCCACCCACATCCAAATCACCATGATCTTCGTTTTTGGGCATGGCGGTAACCTGTAGGGGGTGTCATTCTTTAGTCAGATCCCAGTTTTCGCTCATTCTTGCAAGCTTCATTCCAATGTCTTCTCAGTAACTGTTTCCATGTTCACATCCCCATTTTTGCTTACATTCCCAGGTCTTTGATGTCGATGGCCCAGTTCTGCAGGTTAATTCCCAAATCCTCAGCAGCTCCCCCACAGGGCTCAGCCTCCTCTTCCGCCAGCTCCATGGGCTGCATGGCAGGCCTCTCCGCCTGCGAAGGTGTCACGTCTTGCGGCTGCGCGGGGCGGGGCGCGAGCGGCGAACCTGCCACGCTGCGCACGAAACCGATGGGATCTGGCGAATGTTGGTGCTCTTGATCTTCTTTTTGTTGACGATGGTGATGGTGATGGTGATGGTGATGGTGATGATGATGATGGTGATGATGATGATGATGATGATGATGGTGATGATGATGATGATGATGATGATGCTGATGATGATGCTGATGCTGGTGGAGGTGGTGGTGGTGGTGATTATTATTATGGTTTACTCTTAGCGTCGCCATGTTTAATATATATATATATATTATTATATATTAATGACGTAATCATGAGCATCATGATGAAAATAAAGATGAGTAATTTACGATCATGCGTGTGGTCCTGTGATTTCATGGGTGTGTCTGAACATAGCTTACCCCTAAACTATCCCCTAAATCCATTGATTCATGATGAATGGAGGGACATTCACACAACATGCAAAGTTGCTATGTTGATCTATTTTGGAGGGACATCCTCCCTTTGCACCAAAAGAACCACCAGGTTGAGGCCTCGCAGCGGGAGAGCTTGTCCATGGTGTGCAGCACTGCCCTTGTTGGGCGGCGCCCGGCCTGAATTAGCACAACATATTTAAGAAGAGCTCAGCATCAGAATGACCAGAGTCAAACCATATGTGCACCAAATCATCCAAAATTAGACCATTTGAGTATTAAAACCCATGGTTTGGGGATCCATGGGGATCCCCCATTTTAGGACACCGTTCTACGGCTTGATGCGGTTGCGAGGCACTTGGAGCACCGGGTGTGGATATATGTTTTTGAAGAAAAGGGACCGCTCCCTCCGGATACACATGCACACCAATATGCATACATACACGCGCAAATAACAAAAAATAAAGAAGAAAAATGACGATGATTGATGATGATGATGATGATGATGATTGATGATGATGATGATGATGATGACGACGACGACGATGATGATGATGATGACGACGATGATGATGATGATGACGACGATGATGATGATGATGATTGATGATGATGATGATGATGATGATGATAGATGATACATGATACATGATACATGATACATGTTGATAGTAATAGCAACAATAACAACAAACATAATGACAAATAATGCAATCGCATATCGTATGCGTGTATAATATATATATATATATAATTATATACTTATACAGTATATATGTATTGTGTATATATATACTGCAAAGATCTGCAAAGATCTGCAAAGGATTGAAATGGACTGATGGCTGCAGGCTTGCAGCCTTGAGACATTTGATTCGGTATGATTAGGTATATGATTAGATACAGCCAGTAAAGTGCAGTTCCATGATATTCCCATGGTGGTCAGGTGGGCATGGCGAAGATTCCACAGCAGTCTGCCTTTTTGGTTCGACTCTTCTGGTCGTAGCCGGGTGTCACCGGACCTTGGCCAGGACATCCCCACTGCTGTGGCGTTGGATCTTTCCCACACAGCAGAGAATTCTAAAGCCATCTGAAGCCTACTAGTTGCCACATCTTCCACCACATACATCCAATTACTGTATCTGTTGTTTTTTTGCCTTTCATTTTGTTTAATCTGATTTACTGTAATCTTGATTGATCTTTTCTATCCCAACCCCCGAGCAGTAGAACTGCCTGCAACCCTGCTTAGTTGCCCCTACGGTCGGCTGGGAACCGAAGGACTCGGGGCAGCCAGTCGCGGCGCCTTAGTTCATTGATGTTCATTGACTACCAGAAGGAATCCTTTTTCATATCATATACCGGACTTCGACTCTGAGAACCCCAATACAAACGATATACAGTAAATGAAGCTAAAGAATTGGGTTATCATGGAAGCTGCCGTAACAAACATTTATTTCAAGACTCAAACTTTTACTCGAAGAACTTGAAGATGCTGGCGCAAGACAAACCCCTCCCTGAATGGATGATGATGACTGAACATCGACAAACACAACAGAAAAAGATTGGAAGACACATATCATGGCTATCCATTGCTAACCATTTGGGACATATATCCCAGCATTTGCAACCAATTTCTTCATGCCAAATCAATCCCGCCATATCCCGTAGCCAACCATTGACCCCATTTCGGGCAACACACCTGCACCGGTAGGGAGCTTTGTGGCACCGGAAGGGCCTGGTGCAGATTAAGTTCATTGATCCAAGAAGTCCCTTTTAGTGGATTCTGGTGCATAAATCCAACTGACATGATACAAGCACGGGAAAAAAATGGTAAAACAGGGGAACTGGGACAAGACAGGTTGGAGGTCAGGTGGGAGGCTGTTATGTTTTTGTTCAATGGTGTAAATCTAAATGTTTGACTGTTTCTTTCTGTTAATCTTGCTAAATGTTTCGTCGGAGTTGTTTGATTAATGTTTGGTTTGGATGAGGGTAGGGTATGTTGAGGTTGTTGTGGTTTTTACTGTATGAGATAGTGTCCATTAATGTTCATTTGATGCTTGATGCTTTCTTCGTGTCGTTTCATTGTATATTTTCTTACTTCACATTTACAAATTCGACATTCCAACGTTTCTTTCTTTTTATCACTGAATTCTTCCTTTTTCCTTTCGTAGTATTGTTGAGCACATTGTTTTAAAGTTTCTTTGTGCTGTTCCCTGTATCTGCGTTTGTTTTCTAAACATTTATTACACTGCTTACATTCATTTTTGTAGTAGTCTAACGGTTGAAAGACTTTACATTTAGAACACTGCTTTTTGTCAGTCATTATACCTCTACAATTTTAAGGGGTTATGTCTTTAAGGGGTTTTTAGGGTGGATTACTTCATAATATATTTTATTAAGATATTATGAACTAATCGTTAGGTTTAGTGTCTCCACTTTTCATCACCACTACCTATGCCATCCCAACATTGAGAAACAATCGTTTTGATGTTGTAGAACACTAAAATGATTGTGTCTCTATCAAGTCCTCGCTGGTCAATCAAGTATCCCAACACTGACAATAGTGTATAATAGTTTTGCTGTAATGCTGTCTTTCCTCCTCTGTGGTGTATCCTCTCACCGTGTTGTTTGATTAAATCTTTATCAAATATGTTTTCATAAATTTCTTTCATAAGGTCGTGGTTTATCTCTCCATACTCTGCGTATTGCTCTAAAGATTGTTCTTGTTTAAGTAGTAGGTCATATTCTATAAATTTATAATCAGGATAAGGATTTTCTCTTATGAAATTCGTTACTTTTTCTCTATCTCTTTTCAGTTCCTCTTCACTAACTCCAATCATTGGCATTTTTCACTTAATATATATAGGTAGTTTTTCTTTAAGTAATTTTGATGTCTTGTTCATTTATGTTTTCCAGTTTCCTATTCCATCCCACCAGTGTTCAATTACTCTCATTTGTGTTAAGCTAAGCACGGTTTGTTTGTATCGTTTAGTTCATCCATCGCTATTGGTAAAAGAGTTATATTGATAATCATTGCATTGAATTTACCATCACGGTTAAGTTCTTTACCACCGTCAATGATAATTTGTTTATCAGTGAGGTTTTCATACATCTTTTTTATAATGGCAAAAATTTACAATCATATATATCGTCATATCGTCATATCCTTTACTCCTTCCCCTGATTTCATCCTGTCAAATACTTTCTTCCAAAATTGTTCTCCTTCCTTGTCGTCTGGTGAAGGCATAGGATGACATCTTACAAAGTCTCTAACCTCTTCATCTTCTTTTTCCATCGCTTGTTTATAAAATTCTTCTTCATCTTCACTTTCATTACCAGAGTCCACATAAAGACCCATATTTTCCCCTTCTAATTCCTGAATGTTTTTGCTCTAAATACTTTACTCATTTTTCTCTTATTATATATAGTACTTTTTTCTTTAAGTAATTTTGGGGTTTCTTTCAGTTTTTGGGTTTTGTGTTGTCCTGTATCCACTGTAATCGTTTTATTCGTTGTGTTTCACTACGATCACTTTCATATTCTTCATCTTCGGGGTTTTCTTTCTTGTCTTCATTTCTCACTTCTTGTATCATCCGTCTTATTTTGTCTATACCGTGTTCTCTGTCAAAACCCTTCCATTACATTTCTCACTTTTTCCAAACCGATGTGTCGTTCAATTTCTTCGTCTGTCATTTGTCGGAATTGTTCTTTATAATCTTCATCATACTCTTCTTCCTCCTCATCCTCATAGTTCATAAACATGTCCATGCGTTGCTTTTCCATTTCCAGAAGTTTGTTTTCCATTTGTTGGAATTTCATTTGTTTCTTGCCATC